AACCTGCTCTAGTGGAAGGTGTCCCTGCCCGTGGCAGGGGTTGGAACTAGGTGAGCTTTAAGGTCCCTTCAACCCAAACCATTCCATGATTCTATGATGTGCATCTGTATACAAGGTTCTTACTGGACTCCCATGGAATGCTTGGCTGACCATTCCCACTCCTAAGTTACCCAGCACTGCTCTGTCTAACCTGCCCTGATAGCTAAACCTGATGGAAAGCAGGAGAACCACGTGGGCTTCTTATGCCTGCTCAAAGCTGTGCTTTGAAACTGGGTGTTTTGTGAAGGGGTTTGTGTCTCTTTCCTCCACAGGTTGCTGCAGTGACAGAATATGGGGCCTTCATCAAAATCCCAGGCTGCAGGAAACAAGGTTTGTGTCTCTGCTTTTGTGCAGCTGGAGTTTCAAGTTGGTGCCGTTGTCTCTGGCAGTTGTCTGTGACATTCAAGGCTCATTAAAAGCTCCCAAAAAGGTATTTTTTCAGAATATAGGAAGAAATTGGCTTTCTCAAAAGGTTTTTACAACCTGATGGTGTGTTTGCACAAATACCATCATGACTCAGGAGGCTTGGTGGTAACTTCAGGATGCTTTAGAGAATTAGACTGCGTTAAGTTGGAGCAGATCTTGATGAGCTTTTCCCTGTCTGATTGCTGCAAGTTCTTGCTTCTCACCTGCATAATGGCCTGGAGGAAAGAAATGGTTCATTTGGCCTAGGGGAACCACTGAGCAGCTTCTCTGTGCTCTCCAAAGGATTTTGGTTTCGTGCACGCCTGGGGCATGATCAGGTTCAATCAGTTAATCAAGGAGTTTTTGAGCACCCCCGTAATGTGTGTCTATTTATGGATGAATTCTACCTGTAGTAATGTCATGTACATTAGAAAACACACTCAGAAATGAAGCTGAAGATGAAATGAGCATCCAGCCCACTTGGCAGCTGCAGGTCTAGAGGGCACAACTGAGCTTCAGTGGAGACTTGGCTTAATTGTTCTCCTCCTTCTCTTCCAAACCCATGGCCAGGCCTTGTCCACAGGACCCACATGTCCTCCTGCCGTGTGGATAAACCCTCGGAGATAGTGGATGTTGGAGACAAGGTGTGGGTGAAGCTGATTGGGAAAGAGGTAATGTTCATTCTTGTTTCCTCAAGGCTCTCTGGATACAGTATGCTGCAAACCCACTGAGAGCTGCACTCAGGAGCTGTGCTGGGCTTTGAGGGGTTCTGGTTTACACACAGGCAGATTCTCTTTACCTCCAGACATGACTTTGGGCACGAGGCTTTGGTGACTTAGACCAGAACATCAAAGCTTTTGGCTTACAAGCAGCACAGTCTTTCCCTTTCTTCCCCTGCCACCCCTTTGCAGCCTTTATGGTGTGATTTGGTGGTGAACTGAGCAAGTTGAGAGGATCCCAAGGGAAAAGCTGATGGAAATGGAGGTCTCAAACCGTTTTAAAAGACAGAGTGTTGTTGGACGGAGCTGAAATATTTGTTTTCAAGAAACTATCACCACCAGGAGGGTGCTTAGGCATTGGAACAGGCTACCCAGGGCAGGGCTGGAGTTACCTTCCCTGCAAGTGTTCACACCCCATGGTAGCCAAGGCCTCAGTGCCAGGGGTTAGTGGTGGCTTTGGTAGTGCTGGGAATGGTTGGACCTGATAATCCTAAGAGTCTTTTCCAACCTGGTTGATTCTGTGGTTCTCTAATCTCTATAGTCAAGCTTATGACTGAAGTAACTCCTTAACAGAAACAAGTTTACTGGCTACAACACTAAATGCAGCTACAGACTGACAGAACACAAGCACTTTGGTGCAATATCCTTTGTGGTGCTGCCCTTTGCTAACCAGACTTCCCTTCCTTCTCAATAGGCCTCCAGACACAGTGTAGTAATTAACAACATTGTCATGAATCCTCTCTTTCAGATGAAGGATGACAAGCTGAAGCTTTCCCTCTCCATGAAGGTTGTTAACCAAGGCACAGGAAAAGACCTTGATCCAAACAATGTTTCCCTTGAGTAGGTAAATCTAGTGAGCAGGATCTGACAGACCAGCCAGGTTGCTGCTGTCTTTTCCTCCTGCCTCTCCTGCAGTACCCCTTCTGGAAGTCCCCTCTTTTGGAGGGTGAGGGGCCCTGCCTGAGCCTGCTGATGAAGGCTTGGCTGAAGGCAATCCATTGGATACACTGCCTAGAGTAGGAGCTGGAGGAGACTGCAGCAGGATTTTCATTCCTGTGTCGTGATGGGCATGAACTTGTGCAGGAAGGACAGTTGCTCCAGCTGAGCGTTTGTCTCCCTTCACATACTAAGAGATCCAATCTTTACTGCTTGAGTGTTTCAGAGCTTCTTTACCTGCTTTTTATTGTCCTTTTTTTGTCTTTTGGTGACATCTCTTGCAGGTCAGAATCCCAGAGTGGTCTATGTTGGAAGGGAGCTTAAAGCTCATCCAGCTCCAACCCCTGCCACGGGCAGGGACACCTTCCACTAGAACAGGTTGCTCCAAAAACCTGTGTCCAACCTGGCCTTGAACTGCCAGGGATGGGGCAGCCACAGCTTCTCTGGGCACCCTGTGCCAGCGCCTCAGCACCCTCCCAGGGAAGAGCTTCTGCCTCAGAGCTCATCTCAGTCTCCCCTCTGGCAGGTTCAAGCCATTCCCCTATTCCCCTTGTCCTGTCCCTCCAGGCCCTTGTTCAAAGCCCTTTCTAAAAAAGAGAAACACTTTATTTTCACACTGGGCTAGTTACAGATGTGTGCGTTCACATAACAGATACAGATGTTAGCTTAAAGAACATATCTGCAGCTCCCTGTGTTTGTCTGCTCTGTGTAGAGAGAGCTCAGTTCACCTCAGAAGCAGAAGATGATGGGCAATACACTGCTAACAATATGGTGTGTTGTCATGAGCACTTGCTCAGCTCCATTCTTTGGTTTAACAAGTGAGATTTTTAGAGCAACATTTGATAACAGCTGTGGTTAGGTTGTGTCCATGTAACTATTTGTTTAGAGTTGAGAGTGGATTGAAAATGGAACTGTCCTTCCCTTTCCAGTCAGGATGAGAGGAAAAGACGCACGTTCAGAGACTACACAAGTCAGAAGATCACCCTTGAAGCTGTCTTGAACACTGTGTGCAAGAAGTGTGGTTGCAAAGGTACGTTTATGGGCTGCCGCCTTCCAACCAGGTAGTGACCTGTAGGCTGGATTGTATCCACATCCTGCTCATGGTGTGTGTAAGGACTGAGTTTTGCTTCCATGGGTCTTAGAGAACTCCGTTTTCTATCTCTTGTTACGGAGAGGAAAGACTTGGCTGGACTTCTGTAGAGGTTTGTTTCTTCAAGTCACATTTGAGCTTCCTGTGGAGAACCTTCCTAGTGAGTGCAAGCCCATACAGGCTCCCTTCTCACAAGATTTGTGTTAATATCTCTTGTTAATGAGGCCTTGTTCTAGCTGTGCCTTCACCACAGAGCTACAGAGTAAATGGTTAATGCTGTTCTGGAGAAGGTCAGTAACAATCTGGTTCTCTGTAGTGGTGGGTAACTATCTTTAAAATACCATTTTAAAGAATCCCCTAAACTTTAAACTGGATTCTGTGTGTTTCCAGTCTGTATTTTAACACTGATGTCCCCTCTAAGGGGTGGGCAGATGCAGCTTCCACTACAACTATGTGTAGGTTAACTTTGATGTCTCCAGAGCAGGAAGGATTGAAGCAGAATGAGCTGCTTTCCTCATTGTCTGTGGCTTTGGTCTCATTACCAAGTGCCTGTCACA